AGAAAAGGAAAGGACCAACTACATTCAGAGAGGATGTGAAGAACAACTCAGTTATCCTGGATTCATAGAGGAGAAACCACATGGATGTTCTAATGTTATTATTACTTACCATACTCATTTATCCTTATTATGTTCCACTGAATATGTTTAACCCATTTAGGCCTAAAACGCCTGGAAAAAACATCTTAAAAACCTATGGCCGATTTTAAAAAATACCCCTAAAACCTGAAGTTTTTCTGTAAATTCAGCAACTGTGTCAACGCCTTAATTATTGATATCTCAGCTTCTGTAGCAGATAGAACTCAAAATATATTTTATCTTTGAAATTCTTCCAAAAAAAAAAATGTGAAAAGCAGTAATCAAAAAAAAAAAATTCAACCTTTTATTTTTTCCATATGTGATCATGTCTTCATTGAGAATGTGCAATATAAAACGTTTTCAAAATAAAGAACAAACATTACATAAATAACTATCTGATGATTACTTATTAACAGTATTATTATGCATAATAATGCATATGTCTGTGTTATAAATTGCATACAACCTACCTCCAGATGGCCACAAATCTGTCCCGGGACATATTTTGGGGGAACTGCGTCCTGAAGAGAGGTTTACATACACAGCCCAATAAATGTCTTCATCTCCGTCACAGTCACGGGTGACCACTTTGCCATCTTTGCTCTTGTTGGAGTTTGGTTTGTTTGGTCACTGTACCTATTCGTCTCGGTAACTAGATGCATCCAAAGTTCTTCATTAAAAATATGCTCAAATGCCTGCAGCGGTGTGGTGTCTGCAGGCAAATCAACTTTCACTCCAGGTGTGCGGTTGAAAACACTCCGTGCATTGCGGTGGTAGTTCGATTGGTTCAGCGCGTTCAAAGTCATCATTTCATCTATACCGTCATCAAAGCCGACACACTCCTCAAAATCACTGCCTTCCGACAACTCTTCTCTGTCAAACTCCTCCATGTTTGCTTGAAAAAAACTTCTTTCTTCTTGCTTGACTTATATGCTCTCCCGGCGTCAATGGTAGAATGACGCAACAGCACCCCCGGCTTGAATGGTAGAAATGCGGTAATGCTTTCCCGGCCTAAATGGGTTAAACACTTAATTTCCATCACATCTACAAAAATGAAACATCCAGAATAATGCTGCCTTATGTCATGGAGAGTTTTTCTAGTATCTACAGCCTCCTAGGAGGTCTGAATTGTTTAAATGTTTTGTCAATTGTATAAAAAAAACAAAAAAACTAATAACATAATAAAAAGCTTTTTAATCCTTAGCCTATTACCAAATATTCATACACAGTGTAGTTTGCAGAGGATTTGATTTCAGTGGTTCCTGTATTGGTGCCTGTAATCCAGTAATAACTTATTAGTCGTGATGTGAGGAGAAGCGACGAGGCAGTGTTTCTTCTAAGCGCGTGTCGAGGCGTGATTCATTTAGAGGAGGGGCCAAAATTCATAACGTCCGAGGCCTCGCTACCATGATACCACGTGACCGCTTCAGGAAGTGGTTCAGAAAGCACAAGAATTTTGAGAGGCTTCTAAACAGCCTCAGTATTCAGTCAAGATGTGGGAGATTGTATGAGTTGCAGTCAGCTGGATAGATTATAAGAATAGATTGGTTGTTTTTCTAACCAATCTAGTTGCTTAAATCTATTTTGGATAGAATAAACAATGTAATGATTAAAATCTGAGCAAGCCACCAGACACAGCTGTAACATTAGTGTTAAGTAGTATTTTCTCAAGTTGTACAGGTGGTCACATAAGAGGTGTCATCTGTAAGACACAGATTCCCACTCCTGAGGTTGATCGTTCAAGACCTTCCTTTGACTTTTGAAAGTTGCGATTATGTTTAATTATTTTGGCTAATGAGACTAATTTGTATTGGTTTGCCCTAGTAAAAATATAGATTGGGTAAAAATGCTGCCACATTAGGTTGGTTTAGCCAAAAGATTGGTTGACACAACTTCCAACGTGATCAAGACCAAAAAATGGGGGGGAAACTATTGGGGAGAGAGAGAAAAACAATTGCATCAAAAAACACAATTTTATTACAAATTGTAGTTTTGCACTCCACCAGTAGGTGGTGACATATTCACATGGAGCTTCATGAACTTTGGGGATCGTTGAAGCAATTTGGCCAAATGGTTCAATGCCTCATGAGGCTTCATCTCACCATCACTACTTATTAGTTCCGCATTGTTTAATTTACTAGAACTGCATAGAAATAATAAACACAGCTGTGATATTCTTAGTTTAAAGTATATTTAAGATGAAAGTATTTTAGTAGGCCCCGTTCTGCATTACTTCAATTCTTTAAAAATCACCAGAATATAAAAAATAATGTATATTGTATGAGAAAATTTTCCACATAACTAAAGATCACTGTAATTCAGTAACATTTACTGTTCTGTAGAAATCCCACATTTTGCCACTTTGTTTCAGTTAAATCCTCTGAAAACCTCCAACCTATAGCTGCACCTGTATTCATCTAACCCTGACAGGGTTCAAAATCTCACCCCAATGTAAGCGCCTGAACTTACATGAGAATTTCTATCCTGTATCACTTAATACTACTAGTAGTAGGTTAAGAAGCGTAGAAGTTATTTGAAGTATGCGCCTGTGAGAGTGTGATATGTTGATGTCTTTCCCCCCCACAACTTAGAATAAACCACCAGTTTGGATAAACAATTATATTTTATTAGAGCTTCAAGCTCAGAAACTAGTAAATGGAAATGGAATAGTAAATTGCTTTTTTTTAACGAAACAATCGGACCATAAAATAAAAGTTGGCCTGGATTAATCAACAGAAAATTATGTCACCAAATAGCCTTCAGAGGCACTTAAATGCAATCAGTTCCTTATGAACCCAAACTCTTATTTTGAATCGAAATTTAAAAAAAAAACTCAAAACTATCAAATATGTCCCGGGACCGTACTAACTGAAATTCTGGATCATTTAACAGTAACCTCATTTGAAAATGCAAACCGTGGTGAGACAACCCCAATTTACCCACATAAAGTAAACATCATCAGTGTTACCGCCAGTCTAGGCATACAAATACATCACAAACATACAGCAAAACAATATAGGCAATAACGTCACGGCGTCCCGAATGTCCACCAACACAACTGTAAGCACAGTTCCTTGGAATCGAACACCGGTTATCCGTTCGGTGAGACCCCGCCCCGCAGCTGCACAAAAGTTCTGTCCCCAAAGTGCAAAAGGCTCCTTAAAGCAATGCTGTCTTCGGTGAAGTCAGGTGGCAGGGTATACTCACAGTTCCATAGACGAGAAGAAGGGAGAGGGTAGAGAAAGGAATGTTCGACCTGTTCGGATCGGAGCGAACCAACGTTCATGGACCCCAGCGCCGTCTTCTCGCTGCGGCTCGCCAGCTGTCACCACTCGCACGGTTCCAACACCCAAACTTTTCTTAAGACAAGTTTACTTGCAGGCATATATCTTCACTGCACCAAACTCCTCTGGCTGTCGGCGTCCGCAGCACGGTCGGAATTCCCCCTCCTTCCTTCTTCTGCTCCGCATCTCCACTCTCTCTCTACACCTGACGCTCTCCCTCCTTGGCCGAGCGTCACGTCACGTTACTCCACACACCAAGGTTTGGTGAAAAGTTGACAGCCCTGAAACCTAGAAATCCTAGAAATAGATGTATCTAGATCCTAGATTCTCTTTTAGATAATCAATCCCCTGATGTTAAATTATATAAAAGTCATCTCCTTCAGCTTAAAGCTGACTGAACTTTTAAATGATCAAATCAATAGTAAAGGTGAAATATTAAATTGGTACAATTCAGGTATCGTTTATCAGCCAATATCATCTTCATAGGAAACGCATTTAGTAGAGCACAGACAAAACTGAGCTAATAAAGTGAAAATGTATTAAAATCTATGCATTTATCCTTAAATTGATGAGGTGAATGAGATTAACGCCCTAAAATGTCGTGAAAATGAACTAACTGCATATTATCCACTTGAAATAAGATAATAAATGCGGACTAGAGCATAAGAGAAGCAGAATAAATGAGATGGTGATTAATAGTTAGCTTTTATCTCACCTGATGCTCTCGCTTTCTGGACGCTTCGTCTTTAACGTCGGTGAGAAAAACACAGGGTATCTTCTGCTGAACGGAGCCCAACCGGCGCATGGCGGCGGAGGAGCAGGATTCCTCTGCCTTCTTTATTCTTTGGGTTTTTTAAGTTATCCTCGAAAGCAATAATGTTAGCAGCAAGCGGACAGCATGTGTATGTGTTTACAGTATGATGCGACTCTTCTTTGACCAAATGTTAATCGAATCACACAGTAAAGGAAGGCTCGTTAGCGCCACCTTGCTGTCTGGAGGAAAGTCGCACAAAAATAGCTTGATAAACGGGAATATAGTGAATATAAATATATATACAGTATATGTATATATATAATTTTGGGTAACGTGACATTATTTAACCAGTAATAAAACCAGATTTACTGTATTAATTAAATTATGAGTGCTTTCAAAGTAAAATGATATTTAATAATGGTTTTAAATATGTACATATAGTCAATATATAAAATAATGCACCCAAATTCAAACCCTTTTTTAAATTCATTTAACAATTTCAAAATGAGTGAACTTCCTGTGAAATAATAATAAATGTTATACATGGTTGTACATGTAATTAGGGGTAAAAACAATGGCATCATATGTGCTTGAGGTAAAACCTTAAATTGCTTGATTGCTGCATATAGCAAATTCCAAAGAAATATCTATAATTTGGCAAGGCAAGTTTGTTTGTATAGCACAGTTGAGCAAGAGGACAATTCATTTCCTTTCTAGGTGACATGCATTATGGTTATATAAATTTAAACTCAGTGGCGTAATCACCATTAGGTAAAACTAAGTGCTGGTTGATCCCAGGCTGTTCTCTACATCCAGTCTGTTCCTCTACTTGGTTTGATGTATCACAGCTGAAGGTGAACTCAAACAAATGAGAAAAAACTTACTTTTTGGTTGATAACTATTTTATTTTACTACCAAAGAAATAAAATATTTTCATGAACCCCAAGTTCCTGAGAGCTCCATAAAACTCCCCATATGCATATAGTCAATACAGTTATTATTTATGAACATTAATTATGTGTTTGATTTTAGTACTTTTGCTAAAAAGTGAGTCTTCAGTGTCCTCTACATTGAATCGGTCCATCTTACTGCACACATGCGAAAAGGATCCAGGAGACAGCAGCAAATAACATGAAAACAAACAGGAGGAAAAGGAGAGAAGAGAAGAAAAAAAAAGATTATAAGAAGCTACTCCAGTTGGGTTGTGTCATTTTTTAAGATCATGCACTATATACCATTAAAGCACAATGAAACCAAACATACAACATCAAAATACTACAATTATTTACAAATATAAAATAAAAAAATTAGCTACCAGGAGTAGGGTAGGATCCCATTTCTGGGAGAAATCCAGTAGAAACCAGTGATGAGCCAAACAGGATGTAAATGCATTTATACTGTCAGAAAATAATGCTTTTTATAATCATGGATAAAAATAAAAAAAAAGTGATTTAGGTATTTTTTCTTAAAGCACAATCAATGGTGACCCAGACATTTTATGGTTGCGTGTGGGCAAATGAATCTGCGGTTTGGAGCATGTTACTGGTATAGATTGGATAGTGAATAAAGTCAGTCAGTCAGAATCATCTCACTGCAAAATTTCCTGAGGCCGTTGACTAATAAAGAATTTAGGAACAAAAGGGCGAAAAAAATATAAACATAAAAAAAATAAAAATAAGAGAGATAAGGAAGACAAAATGAAAAAGGAACAGGAAGAAAAGGGAGCGGAATATGTGTGAAATGGACAGAAGAAGAAAAAAAAAGACAAGGACAAAAGGAAAAGAAACATGACGACTTGGAAAAAAGAAAGGACTAAAAAGTAAAACAAATAATTCAGACACATTATGTTAAATGTATACATCAGTATAATTACCCTATTTATTTCTATATTATGTCTCATTTCAGACGGCCTTATATCAGCCTTTGCCTTGGGCTCCAAAATTCTTAAACCCACTGCTGCTTATAATAATAAATAAGAAAAAAGTGGTTTATCCAGAGAACTGGGGAAAAACTGAAAACCCAATAGTGTGATTTGGAAGAAAAACTTTCTTATGGCTACAGCTGCAGTAAAGGCAGTAAAATGCATAGTTGACAACAAATACATGCTTTTATTATTTCTTTATGGCCTCCCTAAAACATTTCCTGCTCCTTCAGAGAACAAGCATCACAAAATGTACATTTAACATGGAGTGCATGAATGAATTGACAAAATGTGTTAATATGTATTACTGTCCAAGTATTTCTTTGCTATCTTGATATTGCACAGACTCACAGTGGTTAGGATACACATGATAATATAGTTGTGATATATTGTGCAGACAGATACAATAGAATGCTTTAAATGAAAGCTTAGTCACCTAATGGCCTAGTCAAAGTTCAAACCTATGTCTGTCTTTATGATATAATGATGGGATACAAAGTGTGTCATAATTATCTATTTAAATATCATAATTAACTTTCAATTCTCCTCATTATTAAAATCTCGTCAATAGAACTTATGAGAGTGGGAATTAGCACTTTAAATCGTATTATGGCTTAAAATCTCATAACTTCTAACAACATATAACATCTTATAATAATTCCTCAAAACCTCACAATTATGACTTATGAGAGTCAAAACTATTACTTTGGATCATATGGTTATAAATTTCATATTTATGCTTTAGGCTCTCAAATTTGACTTTAATCTTATAATTATTACTTAATATCTCATAATTATGACTCATGAAAGTTGAAATTATGACTTTAAATCTCATATTTTTACTTAAAATTTCACAAATTAGTTTTAGATTTCATTTTTATTATTTAAAATCTTATAATTATGCCTTTAAGTGTTATTATTATGACATACCATGTGCCATCTTTTTTAATTTCAGGTGGCAAAAACATACTTCCATAATAAACTGCTCAGAATTGTGGCTAACTAAAATAGTCTGCCTCTTTTCAGCCTCAAGTTGTTGTGTTTTCTGCCTGCCTGTAGTTTACAGAGTGATTTTGTCTGTGGTGTTTCATACAACATGTCGGATCGACGCCAGGATCTAAATCAGGCTCCAGAATCACCAGCTACTCTAAAGAGTTTGTTTCCAGGCATGGATTCACACAGAGTGTAATATCACTGGAGTACTTCATGCTCAGTTCTTCATCAAGCTCCATTTCTGCTCCGTCTTCACTCTGTAGCTCTATCTCACTGTGCGTGTTCTTCCACATCTCCGTCTCCACGTCGTCCTTATGGAGCTGCCGGACAAACAACCGGCAGATTTTCCTTTGCCATAAAGAACAAAAACACAATCATGTTTTCTTTACTCTCTAATGCGAGGATTTTTCGATTGCTTCAATAATCGTAGTAAAATCAAAGTTACTCGTCCTCCATCAAGTCTTGTATAGAAGGACGGATGCAGATGATGTGGAATTGATCCATTTTACATGTTTTCAGTTTAATAAAAGTGTCATTTATGAATGAATTTAAAGCCACCGAATTATTGAGGAACATGACTCACGCTTTGTAGCACCACCAGGCGGTCACTGCCGTAAGAAGAAGCAGAATGATGCTGAGGCTAATGAGTACGATGTGAGCGGCTGAGAAAGAAACAAACCATTTTAAAAGGTTGAAACAGACCATCGAAAAGACGTCTGTCTAAAGGATACACTAAAATTTTTTTAGACAAAAAAGGAGCAGAAACATTATGGGTTTATTTTACTGAGACAAAACAAAGGTCAACTATATCATCTTAACTGCATCTTATTCTAAGGTGTTTTATTACTCATTATTCTGATCTGCTTCTATCTCATCTGTACGATAAAATGAGACTATAAACTCCAGTCACCTGTCTAATAGTGTTTTGATTTTCCTTTTTTAGCCTAAATAGAACCTCAGCATTGGGTGCAATGAACTTACAAAAACAGTTGTGGCGCTATCTATTGGCAGTACCACTTAACTACCAGAAAGCCAGATAATGCAGCTGCTAGATAAGTACTGACTGTGCTGTAATGCTCAAAAACAACAGCTCAGAGGATATACGATATAATACTAGCAGCACTATTAGCAAAGACACTTCCTCAGGTGTCTATCAGCTTTATGGTAACATCAGAACGCTCCTGAGCTTTAGCTCCAGCTTCAGAGAACTTCAATAGTCAGACTCTTTTTCCAGAGCAACCCCAGTTTTATCCCTCCTAGAATAAAACATCTTCATGCGCCTTTCTAGCCTCGATCTTTTACGTTTCATTTTTTTAAATGACGCTGTGAGTTCAGCACTCGCTCAGCTCCAATGCTTCGTCTTGTTGACCTATTGTGCTCATGCTGAGATGTAATCCGGGATGCCGTTATCGTAAATATACACAGAAGGCTTTATTTACTAACAAAATTTGCTAAAAAAAAAAAAAAAAAAAGCTTGAAAGACAAAAATAAAACATACTATTCTAGCAGGACACCGTCATTGGTATTAAAAAGGTTCTATGCAATCAGATTGGCTTACTGACATATAAATAAAAAATTCAAACAATGTGACTATGTGCCTTTTTAAATGAGTGAAATTATTTTTAATCAGTTTCACACCTAAAAACCTTTTTTTTTAATCTAATACAAAATAATAACTGTGACAGAATACATTTAAAATGATCAGTTTAGATTTCTTGATGATATTGAAGTTTATGTGCAAAGAGAATAAATGAACATGTCACCATTACCCTTCCCTCATCTTTTTGTTTTCTGTTTTGATGTAAATTAATATTTGCAAACTATTTATAGTGAATCCAAAAAAAAAAAAAAGTTTACCACTTAGCTGGAGGCTTGCCGGGCTAACCGATGGTTGCAGACTGAGCTCAGAAGAAACAGCGGGACTTGAGGACGGACTGCAGGTCAAAACGGCAAAAGTGACCCTGGGGGGTATGGGGGTGCTCAGACGGTTAGGAGAAAGGGGAACGTAGGGGGACAGGTGTTTAACAGAGGAGGAGGAGAGGGAAGATGAAGGCTGGTCTGTTGTCTCTGTGAAGGGGTCTGAAGCTGAAGGGGTCTGTTTGGTGGGATTATCCACTATTGGTGGCAAACGGGTTGTTGATCTGTATGTAGATGCAGAATATGCTGAGGTCTGGATCATCGCTTCCAGTGAGGTAGAAGATCTGGGAGGTTGTGGACTGGCTGTGCTTGGTTTCAAAGTTTGGTTCTGATCTGTAATTGCTTAGAGCAGATAAAACACACAGAAATGTTTGAAATGAGGCTAAATCAGAGAGAAAACACACAGAATAAAGCTTGAGCCACATTAATGCTAGCATAGGTTTTATGTTCAGTGGGTAGGGATGTTCTGTACCTGAAGTGTTGAAGCAATACACCATAAATTTTTTACTAAGTGCTGCCTGCCACACTACCATGCCACTTTTCCCTGCTCCACATTTAGGGTCAGGTTTTATCCGTGGGATGACAGCTTTCATTTCAGCCACCCAGCCATATCTGTTGGAAACAATTAATGTTTAACACAAAAAAAGGTGTTTATAATCACAAATGATGATGATGACATTAGCAAGTGCTGACCAAATGGGACAAGTATACCAGCACAGAGTAATATAATATAATTATGAATTGCATTCGTTTCCAATTCTGTTTGCCAGAATTTCTCTTTATTCTGGGGGCTGGATTTCCTGAAAAAATAGTGACCTTTATTTCTATTGGTCGATGTGTGTTTGTATTTGGGATGAAGTGAAGAGAATGGGATCTAGAAAATGTAATTTAAAGAGAATGGAATTTAAAAATATAAAATCTTTAAAAAAAAAAAAAAAAAAAAAAAGGAAAAGAATATAAAATATGAAATACTGATTGAAAAAAAAGGATATTTTACAGTTTGAGGGTAATTTTTGTGTTTTATTATATTTGTGTATTATAAGATTTTATGTTTCTTAATTCCATTCTCTTTAAATAGAGTTTTAAAAGACACATCCTCTTCCCTTTCAACCCAGCACAATTAATCGCTTGAAGTGTACATTGACCAATAATATTGCTGTTGCAATAACATCCAGCAGACCAATAGAAATACATCCTCACTCCATAAACCAAATCCATTATCTTATTTAAAGTGCATAATATCTAATTTTCTTCTTTCAAGGAAGAAAATCATCTTATTCACTTTCGTAAGTTAAGCTCAAATACCCTAATATAAAGGAATTCTAACCTATTTTTACATCAATTTGCACAGTGTTGCCTTTCTATTGTGTTTCTTAGGCTTTACACTGTGTCTAAAATCAGGAAGAAAAAAATATCCTCTATGAAAAAGGCACACAAACTAAATAAAATTTTTTCTCCATGCAGCAAGATCATTTTACTTGATAATATTTCTTGATTTAAGATTTTTTTAATTTAGAAATAAGCATGCTGAGCACTTAAAATTAGAAATTATATCTTAAGGCAAGACAAATGATCCAACATTTCCTAATATAAATTTTTGCCTTTACAAAGTATTTGTTCGTATATATATATATATATATATATATATATATATATATATATATATATATATATATATATATATATATATATATATATATATATATATATATATATATATATATATATATATATATATATATATATATATATATATATATATCACATTGCATATTTAGATAAACTTTACAGCTGTAATTTGAGAAAATGTGGAAATATTAAGTGAGTTTGAAGACTTTTACTTGGTAAAGAAAATAAGGAAATACATCTAGTAACAGCTTTGGTCTTGGTTGTGCAACTGGGTTAATATATCTGAGGGTTTTAGATAAATAAAGATTTAAGATGTTCACAAAATAATGAGTTACATGTCCTTGTTTTGTTTTTTACTTTTGGTCTCATGGGACTTCATGCATGTAGTTCAATGATCGTCCTACTTGCATGTCTCCAGTCCGTGCTGCACTGCTTCCTGCATCTGAGCTTCGGTTGCTATGGTGACGTTCAGAAGTAAGCAGGCTGCTGTTGCTTCAGTGAAGTTTAAGGTGTACTTTTCTCCATCCCCCAGCAGGAAGATTCCCATTGGTTTGTCAGACTGAACCGGAACTAAAATGTTGCAGAACGATGGTGGTTAACCTTTCAGATGAAATCCATCATTTATTTTAGTTGTTATTGAAGGCAGTACAAAATAATAAAGGTATTAGAGAACGTATATTTCAACACAATAAAATAACCTAAAACACAAAACCAATAGATTTAAATATGTCCAAATTGTAATCGCAGCTTCTAAACTTTATAAGATACCTAAAGAAAGTAGGGAAGTCTGTTTTTTTAAGTTTTGAGACCCACATCTTCCAAGAAGCGTTTTTATCCCTCTAAAGTTGAATTACAAGTTTCTTAGAGATATTTAAAGCATAAGAGAAGAAGCAATATTCCGCTTCCTCACACTTTCCCTTTCTTCAACTTTTCCAAAGTCTTATTCAAAATTGTACAAGACTCTTGTGCAATTTTGTATTTAATCAATTACTGATGTGCATTTATGGATGTAGCTTTTATTCTATGCAAAACCCGTAATGATCCTAAACAATCATTGGTCCAAAGATCAGCTGCTCAGTGGCGCAGTGGGTAGCACTGCTGCCTTGCAGCAAGAAGGTTCTGGGTTCAAATCCTGGCCCAGGGTCTTTCTGCATGGAGTTTGCATGTTCTCCCTGGCTTCCTCCCACAGTCCAAAAACATGACTGTTAGGTTGATTGGCTTCTCTAATTGTCTAATTTGTCCTTAGGAGTGAGTGTGTGTGTGAATGGTTGTTTGTCCTGTGTGTCTCTGTGTTGCCCTGCGATGGACTGGCAACCTGTCCAGGGTGTACCCCGCCTCTTGCCCATTGACTGCTGGAGATAGGCACCAGCACCCCTCGCGACCCCAATTGGGACAAGCGTGTAAGATGATGGATGGATGGATGGAAGTTCTGATAACTAGAAATAGAGAGAGTTTTGTATTTTAAGTCAGATATCTAAAAAACAAAAAACGACTCTTTGGTAACTCAAACATCTCTTACAATTGCTGAGAGTGATAAAGGTGTCATTTGAATATAAATATTTTAAAATAGTAATCTCAATTCTTATTAACATGAAAAAAGCTCAATAAACAGAAGTCTGAAGAAAAAAATAGCTTAATAGGAAATAGGTAAGAATGAGGAGAGTTTGACTCTCACAGTTATTTGCTTCCCAGTACTCTATGAATTTATAGATTATTGTTGTACAGAGCACCAGTTAAAGGTGTAGATTATAGAAACACCACATCAGTCAAATATAGGAAGGAATCCTCCCACATCAGTTGTTGCCCTTTGGGAGGAAAAGCAGTGTTTTCTCCAAGTTTTGGTCGGATTTTATCAGCAGAATCACACAAAAGACACAGCTAACAAAAATATGCAACAAAAAGCCCAAAATATTGGTTTTTAAACCCAATGACGGTTTTAATCATGAACTACAAAAAAGTTGATTCCGGTGGAGAATATTTCAAAAGCTAGAAGTATATACTAAAAGAGATAGAAATGCTAATGGCTGCTTAATCCTGTTGCTTCAATGCCCCGTTAGGTCATGGAATCGACCAGTAACTGGAGGAGTGCTTGAATATATATATTAATATATTTGATATATATCTATAAATAATATATAAATATAAAACATATATTTTTATATTGAAAAAGCATTTTAAAACAATAGCACTGCATGGTTTTTGTCAGTTTGCTCAGAAATATTTCCCACCGTACTTATCCTCAGATGTTTCTTCAAATGGTAAAAGCATGCTTATTTATTTTATTTTTTGATAAGCTCACTATGTCAGAGGTAACAAGTTTGTATTTTTTGGAAATTTGAAGCTAATTTTTTCCTAAAAGTAACACCAGTGAAACTAGCACCACATTTAAAATAAACACCAAGTAACACAATCCAAATACACTACCTGCATTTTAAAACTAGAAAATGAGTTACAAAATCATAAAGGAAATAAAGAAGAATTTATATAAATAAAATGTGGATAAAATAAATCTACACTCTTACCTTTACTGAGACTGGAGGCTGAAAGATGCACCATTGCTGTAAAGAACCCCAGAAACATGGACATGAAGCAGCTCTGGCTTGCCATGTTTCTCTGTGAGATATATAGCTAATGTAGTGAGTAATTTAGAAGAAGAATCCAGAATACGGAAGTGGGTCCCTGAATGGTGCGGAGGAAACAGGAAAACCGAGGCCAGCTCTGCCCGATGGCCTTTGAGCCAGATAGAGCAAGCATCCACATGACCGCAGCCCTCAGCGTGTTTTAGTCAAAGATCGTTTTGGTCATTCGATTGCATAGATGACACATACAATATATCAGTAGCAAGCTGTTTAGAGATCATAGAGGATGTCCAGGAAATATACAAGCAGGATTACAGGAAGTGTTTAGGAATCCAAGAGAAACAAATGTAAAAATATAATCCTTGGCTATAAAAAAAAAAACAAGCTGATGAGTAATATAGGGCCCTTATTCGTAAACATGGATGAAAGACCATTATTACCCCTTTGGGTGTGTAGCTTAGTGGTGAGAATATTTCCTGCTTTGCCAGCATTTCTCTCAGAGCTGTTTGTCTTATCAGTAGAGTAGGAAAAGCTTCTTCCTTTGCAACCTTGCTTATTTTTCTTTTCATTAGTTTTTTTTTAATAGTTTAATATAATCTCACTTGAGTGCAAGTTAATTAAATAGTCTGACAAATAATAAATCTTATTCTAATTTCTTTTAATTTCATGCCACAAATAATTGAAATGGACATAAAAAGAATACTTTCATTAAAGTGTTAGTTTGTCTAAACCTTTTCAAAAAATTTTCCTCTTTACTGTAAGGTATCCTCTGTAGTTTTTGACTGAGAGGCCAACTAATGTGTCAGAGGGGAAAGAGAATGAAATAAAAAATGCATGGAAACCCGTGATGAATACAGCGCGTATGAATACTCTCAAACTATTGCTTTGTCCAAAGCACCTTTGAGAATTTGGTCCTCCTGGGTACGCAACTGGTATCAATTACAGAAAATCGAATTGATCCTAGAAATACAATTTTTTTTAAAAGTTTAAGCTTTTCTCAAACGTTTTTCATGACATTTGTATCCAACAGTTTGTGTTAAAGATAAACACAGATCAGCTATATTTATTTATGATTCCGATTAGAAGAATTATCAGCAAGCATTGGATTCATTTCCCCTGTTATGCAATTTATATTCAGCTATATCTGTCGATAAATCCCAAAGATGACCTGAAGTTTTTGTCTTTGGACCAAAGTCTTTAAAAAAAAAAATCTGATTTCAGAAAAAAAAAAGCTGATCCTTTAGTTATCAGGCTCCTCTCCCGAGGAAACAACTATCAGTTTCAGTCCATCAGACAGACCCTGTCTACTTTTTAGGCTAAGCGTTTCCTTTTTGATAAATCTTATAGAGGTTATCCATAGCTATCTCTATAGATATGCTGCTATAGGCTTAGAGTGCTGGAGGACATAGAGACCCCTTTTAATAATTTTGCTTCATTTCATTTATATTCTCTCATTCTGAAGTATTTGTTTTTTCTACTCATAACGCTATGCTCTCTCTGCTTTTTCTCATAGTAGCTTCATCTGGTCAGTTCCCGTGTGGCTGTGACTCCATCCTGGAGAGAAATGTTGGCTGTGCTGCTGCCATCAACACCTTTGTTTGTAGATGTTGGAGCTTGGCCTCTTTTTCAGTGTAGTTCTAATTTTCTGACTTTGACTAACTGGATGTGCTATCTTTGATCCTTCTGACATCTGAGCTGCTTAGTGCTTGTCTGTGTGGCTGAGTTTCCTGAACAGGGCCGCCTGTGGAGCTGGTTGAGAGTTGCCTTTTGTATCTCTGCTTATTTTGGTATCTCTGCTTCTGTCTACTTGAACCCCAGTCGGCCTCAGCAGATGGCCGCTCACACTGAGCCTGGTTCTGCTGGAGGTTTCTTCCTGTTAAAAGGGAGTTTTCTTCTCCACTGTCGATACATGCATGCTAAGTGTAAGGAATTGCTGAAGAGTCAATGACAAAATGCAAGCAAATATCAGTGCCAGAAGCTCATCCAGGAGGAACATATCGTGCAAGTAGATGACTCAATGCAATCATCTGTTTTTTCTTGACAGAAACTTTTATACAATCTGACTGTATTGTCTATGTAAGGTGCCTTAAGATGATTTGTGATGTGATTTGGCTCTATATAAATAAGCTGAACTGGATACATGAAGTCCTCATTTGAAGGGAGGTGACAGAATATCTAATACATTTTAAAAAAAATAAAAAAGTACTTAAACTGTAGTCTATGCAGAGAAAACCAGGATTCAAAACCAGACCTTTTTGTTGCATATAAGCAGTGCTGGTGAACTCTTAAAGTGACAGAAACGATTAAAAAAGTAAACTTCCTGTCAAGTTTCTTTGACCTAGTGACTTTTTATGGAGTGGATTTTGTTCCAATGTTGTTGCAAACAAAGTGATGTTTTGTAGATGAAAATAAAAGCAATACAAAAATAAAACTTCAAAAACCTTCCTAATCAAAAAAAAATTTGAGAATACCTTTGCTGTTTTTTCAAATTTTCATTTTAGAATCATTTTTAAATTTTATAGTTTTAATTTTCTTTAACAGATTTTGTATTTTAACATATTTTTACACAAGCCATATAAAACAGCTTGACAAATAAAATCATTGCCTGCTAATTTGCATGCAGACCAATAGAACTGTGTCTTTGCTCCTCACTCAAATGAAGGTCTGTAGAAAGCCATTTTGAAAAATGCTATATGGCATAAAAAAAAAAATCATGATAGAAGGTAAAGAAAATAAATAAGGAAAAAAGAAAATATAAAAAGAATCTTAAATAGATAGCATTTGTAAAAATAAAACTGGAAGAAAATTAATTTTGAAAAGATAACTTAAAAAAGAATTTCTGGAAAAAAAAATACAATAATTTTAAAAATTATATCTGAGAAATCAGCAAAATGACTTTCAAATTCCTTTTTTGATTGAAAAGTTTTGCAAACCACGATTTCTGGATCGCATTTGTTTTTTAGATGTTAATTTACAAAATAGTCTTTGCTTGCACTAAAACAAAATTCACTCCATAATTTTTTACCCGTCTGTTTTTACTGTCTGGCGGTCCTGTCATCATACAGTACAAAGAAGTCGTCCCCTCTACCTTCCAACATGACCGGCCAACCTGGTGCAAGCTGCTGTTGTTCTACAAAGGAATGTTTACCTCCCTCTCACACAGGTCAGGTCCGATCACATTACCTAATGAATACTGAATGACAGCTAGCTGGTGATGGGATACACCTCGTGATCTAGACCTGAAACTGAGAACTTCATTCAGTTAGCCGTTCCAAGTTCTAACGATAAACAAGATGGCCCGGTCTTCTCTTTAAACCATTATTGCAACATAATCTAAAAGAGACGCTTTGGTGGAATTACAGCCATCTGGTACGGAAATGTCTATTAGAGCCAAGTCCCATACAGACCTGCCAACAGCTGGCAAGTCCCCAGCAGAGGATAGCTTCCACAAATCTTTCTCTGTGAGCAGCATTGGTGTTAATAGAGCTGCACACTTTGGGTGTGGGGTGACCGAGGAGGTCAAAGTTCTCTCCAGGGCTTTCAGGAGGCCCGTCCGGGCTGTCAGGCCGGTCAGCGCTGTCAGCTCCAGTGGCTCCTTTCTCCAGATAAATCACCTACAGGGGGAACTGGTTCGAAAGAGGAAGGTAGGCAAATATTTCAAAAACAACTCATGACTAATGCTGACACCATAAAACAGACTTTTCGTGAAGTCTGAAATTTATTGATACGTTTTGGCCATTTAAAAAGTCAAAAAATATATATTTTGGAGCATTCCTTGTTCATTGCAAAACAAACAGGAAGGAGAGTTTCTCTGGCATCAGTGCTCCTCTCTGACAGGACACTGTCCAACAGGAAACACCATTAAATACTCAAAAAGATTGACTAGGTTGGTCCAGCTCCATCTGAATCCTCCCTGTTTTACAGCTTGTCATTAATAAAGGATTCAGTGAATTATTTTCGGCTGATAAGTTGATGAAAAATGTACAAACAGGGCAACTACTCCATTTTTATTGGCAGTGCAGCAGGCAAAAATATACCATGTTGTAAAAAAATTGGTAATTTTTCATGTCAAATAGGGATTTGAGGATTTATAGCACCTTTAAAAAGCATTCAGACCCCTTCAAGCTTTTCAAATTTTGGCATTTCACAGTCTCAGACTTCAGTGTCATTTAAGCTTATATATGTAGGGTCAGCAGGAGGAAAGGGCCAATATAAATTACAAGGAAATCTAGCTCTCCTTATTAAATTCTCTTTAGGGCCTTCTTCAACCCTCGACAGTGCTGTACACCAACAAGCAAATCGTTTTGCCCTTTTTTTAATGAAAAATGGTATGTTTGGGCAGATGACTGGAGAAAATTCAGTAAATTTCTCGTCTGTCTGTAAATTCTGAAAGGAATTGCCTCAAAACTCTAACTAGGGAATTTCAACACATAAATTGGAGTTATCTAGACACATTCATCTTTGTATTACAGTGAATAACCATGGGTCTAGATCAGACAGAGACTAGTTCACAGTTTTGTTGCTTGGGTTTGGAAAACTAACCAACGGAACTCATTAAAAAGCAGTATTGTTTTCCCACTGGCAAGGCTAAGGACATTTACCCAGATGCCATGTTGTGTGGTTAATGAAGGAGATCATATTATATAGTGTGTGAAAGATTTGCTGAGGGAGCAATTTTTCAGAAGAGCAAACACATATTCTTATTTACTGCAGATAACATTTCTGGATATTGAAGGTGGGGATGTTAAGAAATATAAGCCTGAACAGTCTAACTTCAATAGAACTGTTTCTTTTTCTCCTTCCTTGCACCTTTTACAGGTATTGTAGTGGATTTTTGTGAATCTTTTAAAGCTGCAGTCTGTAACATTGAGGAGAGAGCAGACTTCGCCTGAAAATTTGAAGAAAAACAGGTTTCACTCCACTCCCCCACCCTCTCTGCTTCACTCATGCCCTACCTCCAAGCTCCACCCCTCTCACAGCATCTGCGCGGCTACCGCATGCGACCAGAAGGGGGGGGGGGGGGGGGGGGGGGGGGGGGCGGGATTCAGCGTGTGTGAGCTGTGATTGACACTCCATCAGACGCTCCTCTGGCTGTGATTGGTTGTTTTGACTCGTCCCGAATTATTCTTTCCAGATTGAAATACAGGCAGTATGCGGGACCAATTGAAGCAGTTTTTTTCA